AAACTAGTTATCGACCCCAACTAATCAATCAACAACACTCCATTTTCTCAATCTCTTGTTTCGCTTGCTCAAGGTCCAAGTTGTCCTTCATCTTACTACGACCTCGACCTCACGCGGGTTGCTTTGGCCAAGTCTCAATCGAGATCGCTCGAGTACGACAAGGTACACTCGTGTACATATGCAAGGCTTGCCTATAACTTGATACCATGTCAGCTCAGCGTCTACCTCGTCAAGTGCCGACTTCATTGCGTACGGCTTTGTACATTTCTTGGATCACAGATCCGCACTTTCTAAAGGGTCGTTGGGTGGTTTTGTCGTGCTGGCTCCTGGTGCTGCCACGTCATACGCAACCCCTGGCTTGAAATAGCGCGAAACACCCGCGCATTTGGAAGGTTTTCCGAGTGTTTTTCCATTTTTAATCGGTCGCGAATGCTTCGGAGCCGCGCCGCCCGACGCGCCTCGGCGCCGTCCGTTCTTCCGAGCAAGGGCGTCCGCCTCGAGCCGCAAGAGGTCAACCAGGACGACGGCCACGGGCCGCAGGAAGAGGACGAGACGGACGAGAAGGAGCCAGCGCCGCCACTGAGCCCCGAGAAGGCTGAAGATGGCGCCAAGGACAACAACCAAGACGACGACGAGCCAGTCGTGCTCGGTAATATCGTCCTCGAGGAAGACGAAGCGCCACCGGAAGCGCCGTCGCCGAGCCGCGACGTCGGGCGGCTACCGCCCATGGCGTGGATCGTCGCGTGGAAGAAGCGCGAGGTGTGGCCGCATGTGCTAGCGTCCGTGCAAACGCCGCTTCTCGCGTATCGGTACGACCAGAGCGTCGACGATAAGCTCGCAACTGCGACACGCAACCGCCGTGCGCTCCTCGAGACGCGGCAACGCGCAGCCCGAGCGCACAACGACCATGTCGCCCACGCCCTCTTGCTACGACGCGACGCCGCAGCCGCAAGTCGCAAGGCGCGGAGCGTCCGCGCCGCCGAGCGCTTGCACGACGCTGAGGCCCGCCGCAGTGCCTATGTGGCGGCCAAGCAGCGCACGGCGGTCGCATTTATGGAGCCGACCATTGATTCTTCGACGCCGGTCGCGGACGAGAGTCTGTGGGAAGCCTCGTCGCGGCGCATCGCAGCGGCGAGTGCTGCGCGCATTGCGCTCCTGCATGAGAAGAGCGCGCGCGCCGGCAGCATTTTGGAGCGCGCGAAGAGCATCGCGGCCGACGTGGCGTCGCTCCACGACCAGTACGCGGTAGGATACTGCATTCATGCGACTACACTCGACGAAACGTTGGTTTGCATGTAGACGCTGGCGACGCACGACTTGCAGCAACGGCTGGCGCGCGCCGAAGTCCGCCGGCTCATCGTGCTCGACAAGCGCCGGCTCCTCGCGGGCCGCCATGGCAACTACGTGCGATCTGTTTACTTGACGACCAAGTACCTCGCGCGGGAGGC